CTTATCCAATATAGAATTATATTTCAGTTTGAATAGTATATACCCCAATAACTAGTTTAGTTTTTCCTTTATGTAGATAAAAAACGAGGAGTTTAGCTAACGAATAGTTTTTAGGACATTCTTGTTGCAGGGAAACATAAATGGATTTTTGTTAGTTAAAGTGACTACTTTAAGACATATTGCAAAAACCACAACTTGGTCCTAAATACAATCAGAAGCAAGTTTCATTCTCCCTATAGTAATGACTTTGACAACAGATACTATTTCGTGAGAAAATCATTTTTCAAATCCGATACCTAACAAGGAGTCGTGTCAAAATAGATTAGTATATAATGATGAGCCCATAAATCACAAAATAGGAGAAATGGTATGGAAATAATGGAAAACAACTGGTACTCAAATAATTTGTACACTAGTCTACGAGCTGGTCTTGCAACGTGAAGGTCCTGCGTTCTGTTCAATGAGACTTTCCAGTGGTGCATATTCACAGCTTCATCAGCGATTGAACCCGTCACCTTTGGATTGCGAGAATGAACTCGTCGACCATTTAGCCTTTTAGACCGGAATTTGTGACAAAATCTACTTTGAAATTAATTCAAATACTTACAAAATCTTATGATCTATGCATCAATCTCCAGCTGACTGATGGCCCCGGGGTAGATGTCCTGAAGGTATATTCAGAAGCTGTAACCAGTGGGGTACATCACGTTAGGGAGAAGTGAGTGCTCATAAAAGGCATTGGTCGACGGTAGAGCTATTCCACGAATTGATAAAGTTAGAATTCACGAGTTATTAAATTCCAGCCCGAGTGGCTTAATGGTCAATGAGCTTGAAGGTGACAGGTTCTATCGCTCGTAGGGTCACGAGTATGCACTGTTGAAGAGCCGTAAAGTAGGATGAAACAACCCCCCCATGGTTTGTAGTTTTCATTGACCTCTAACTGATGTTAGTTCATGACTTAGTCTACACTGAAATTAATCTAAATCTCTACAACACACCACAGTCTAAATTTCGTTGATATACTTTAGCATCTAGTTTATACCTTCTAAAATAAGCCGTGTTTTTATCGAATAAGCTCAAAAGAAACTTATATTTAAAATAATCTGCCCTCTACGTTTTAATAAATATTATCTCTCAATTTACCTTATTCCTTCTACTTGGTTTCATATTTATTTCAATGACTTCTTATGGTTGAAGTTTATCTAACTGATTCCCACTAAAGTTAAGTAACGTGTCTATCCAACTACTAGTGAGATAGTCACTATTACACTAAGTCATTCCTCGAAATTTTTTTCCATGATTATTTCACCGTGTGATATTTTGAAAATAGCCTTTTATAAATTGCAACATAGGTAGGTTTGAGAATTGAGTTTGCTTCGACATACTCTTTCTTTTGGTTAAAATGTAGACTATTCACATTTGATATTGAACACAAGTTGCCCAGCCACATGTATATATGGTTGACTAGGCGAACCAATGCTTACTTGTAAATAATTAAGCCTAATAAAAATATACTGATCGTTTGTACCACTAGATTAATGCACTGATTATACATACCAGCCTTGTGTCTCATATATTTGCTAATTCTGTCACAATCAGCGTACAATTGTGTTTGTCTTTCTTTTTCAGGAATCAATTTAACAGTCTGATAAACAAGTAAAGAGGCAAAGTAACAGTATGATAACGTGCAAATAAGTCAGTGATAAGTTCATTTGGGAAGTTAGAAAAACTAACAGAAAAACCGTAATTATTCACATTACGTTAGTAATGAATAAAGAATTATGAAGAATTCGAATCACATCTGCTAAATTATAAGGAGGAGACATCAAAATACACTAATAATACCTCAGACATGAAAATGAGGTGTATATTAAGCCCTTAAATTTATTCATAGACAAACTCAGTCAGCTTAGATAAGGAAGTTTTGAATACACTGAACTGAAAATCGCATAAAATATTTACAATCAAGTAGTCATTAGTTATTGGATAGGTTGTGATAAAAGACAGCCCTACTGACACGCGTAATTTCGAAAATCTCTTAGCAAATATCATCTGCGTTAAAACTATCACAAGGTATATTGTAAACAATAATAATCTCAATGACAGAAATATTCAGCAGAAAGAATAAGTTGGTTAGTAAACTTACAGTCGAAGGGTGATTTCAAAGTCATATGTTTAGCTCTTTTAGATACAGTAAAGTTAATTACTCTCTTTCCTAATGCGTGATCCTGTAGGCACAACAAAAATAGGGATACAAGACCCCAAATTACTGTAATATGTTAAAGTGTTCACATAGAAATTCTGAAGGTAATGTTGTCTAGTGAACGTCTCTGGAAAAAGTCAACTGAGGTACAAAGACATTCAATAGTGCTAAATCTATTAACCTTACAATAGAAGTAAAATTATTTTAAAAACCTGGAATGATTATTTTAAAATCGGTTAAAATTACCTGTTTGTGGCTGTTTCCATAAATCCTCTTTTGTTTTCAGTCACCTTTTCATCTACTTTCGTCTGACGTCACAATCGTTTCAAATATGAGAAAGTCGTTCCGCTTACAGTCAGAATGGTGCTATTACGTAAACTGTTGCCAGTTCCTAAATAGTGGAATGAATTGTTGACTGATATAATGGTGATCAATGCTGCATCACCTTTTGTTTTACTCAGTGGGTAATCTATAGGCATAGTAAATCGTTATCATCGCGGAGTTCCTGATTATGAGATGCGCTACAATTTCTGCCACACAATGGATTTAAAAATTACATATACAGTTATATATTTCGTAAGCTGCCTTGAATAGTAAAATCATTGATACCGTTTAAACGTACTAAAATTGCTTAGTACTCCGATAAGATTTCTAAGCATAAAATTAATTTCCAGTATTTAGTTTGTAGAGGTTATTAAAATTTTTTTAATGTATAGAAAAAGACCCTGAATACATATCTTTCTTTTTTTACAATACATTAATGTCCTTATCATCGGCAAGAATGGGATTGGATGAAGTAAAGGAAGATATTATAATTATCCGTTCGTATAAATGAGTAACTGAGCTTGCCTTCCAATACCACACAACAAATAAATTTTGATCCAATAATTATTTAAGTTATATAATACTCGTGCAAATTAAAATTTTATCAAACCTATTACACACCATCCTTAGGTTTCAGCTTTGGGCAGAGTACCTAAAATCTTCAGCTGCTTTCGACATGACCAGTTCTAATTTCGGGCTGAAAACAACTGGTTGCGAATAACTGGAATGGACCAACAACAATATCCTTTGTTGCTAAGCATTTAGGAAATGATAACTACCTTGAAGTTTTCAGATAACATTTTACTTCGCAATATTATCGTCTCAAGACTTCATTTAAGTCTTGGAAATACTTGCATGCTATCTAATAATTTTACCAACATGAACTAATTTATTAGACAGCTTCTTTAGTTGGGTTTTTGACTTTGTGAAAACAGTAATTTACTTTCAGAGAAATCAGTTGTAAGCGACCTCAAACCTGGTTATGTATCTTTAAGAAAAAAATTTGCCTCACTAATTTAATAACTGCGCGAGAAACAAACATATGTATATAAATCGTCACACTAGATAATTTCCTATAAGGACTGTTTTAGTGAAAGGGAGAAGACGTTTCAACACAACTTAAAGCTACAGTCTGTTTAAAATAGAATAAATATAAACGGAGCTTGTTAGCGTTAAGTATTTTACCGGAATAAATATGCAGCTTTGTTGCAGGTAGTAATTTATTAGTTCTATCTTATGACAAACAAAATAAAATCACGAATATACAGTATCTCCAAATAAATTGGCGTGATAACTAGAATGCATTTCGTTCATAAAAATCCTGGGATAAAAGTATACAAGCAGTAAGCAAAAAACTAAACTGTTTGAGAATTACGTCGTACTAAGCAGAAAAATAAGCCGGAAATACAATACAGATTAGCAGTGTAATAAGACTTAAAATGTTTGCAGGATGAGTTCACTCTTTTTAAATGTCTTGATTGTCAGAATACCTTTGCATGTAAATCTTTTCCTGTAAGGCAGGTTTACTCACTCATCTTTTCGCCAGCTAGACACAGGCTAAAGTTCGGGATTATCTGGTAAGCCTCCGAAACCCACTGGTTACTACGGAACCTCAGTAACCCTGACAAAAACAGATTTTTAACCTTCCCAGTATACCAATGATACCTTAGGCAGTAGTTTAAAATTTTGTGAGGCTTTCCACTCCTTTCACTTTATAACAAAAATATCTCATATTTTTATAACGTTTGCAATCCGATTATAGTACTCTATGCACCAAAACGAAGATTGAACATTAGAAATACCAATTTTGAGGAAGTATTCTTATTCACAGAGTAAACAAAAGCATATGCGAAAGTTGTACTGCTGCAAGTGTTGTATGCTAGTTTGAAACGGTATGTATAATCTACAGTTAGGCTCTAGAACTACATATGATTACATTTGTAAGAATGATATATTAGCGTAATGGCAGAAAAAAATAATACGCAAAGATTCTGTATGAATTTTAAGAAGACATCTGTATTTCATCTCCGATTTACTATGCACTAAGTGAAACTTGTATGTTCTTTTTACAGACGTAACTTAACGGTTAATAAAGGTCAGGCAACTCAGAGAGTAAGTCCTAATACGACAGCACAAAATACGCAAGAGTATACTATTGTATGCAGGTCTAGTATTGCCAGATAATCTCAAAAAGAAGTAAAGCACTTTACTGCAGTGAAGTAAAACATGATTTAAAATAATAAGATTTTGACTGCAATTGTCTGATTTCAAAAACAGCTAAATAAGCCGATAAAATGCTATGGATAGACACGAAACGTATTCTCTGAAAAGCGTTTACGTTAGAGGTTTAAGCAAATCAATTAAAGATGCATTGTTCACCAGCTTCTAGGTTTTCGAGTCACCTGTTAGTTTACTATGAAACAAATTTATAATTGAACGAGAAAAGTGAGGTTAAAGCATTATTCATTTTTACCTTTTTATTTTCCTGTCTTGTTTTTAAGGACGTTTTCTCATTTCTTCTCATTTGCATTCGCTTTCAAAAAAACGCGTTAGCTGTTCACCCTAGCAAAGGTCATTTTTGGGAATCCGTAAGAGTTCAAACAACACCCGTTGTCTCTTCAGTGAAACACGGTAGTTTCGGAAGTAAAAAGTATGTGTTGACACTAATAAATTTAAAATCAAAATTATATTACAATAACTAGTTTGTTACTTTATCCTGACACTAACTTACATTTCTCGATGGAATATATAGAGTTGTGATCCCGATGACTGAAGAAAATATAAAAGGCACAACATCTGAAGTGCCGCACTGCAAATCTTCATTATTACACAGTGTGGACTTGATCACATATAGAAATAGCCCATTAGATGATGCTGTAAGCAGCTACACCGAAAAGGCAGTACCCGTTAAAAATACTGGTTAGAAAATCATTTACTGAGGGAATTGTGATGAGGGTTATAGCGGTGGTGAACGTTACACGAGATAAACGAATAGTGATATACATTAATTTTAGGTGCAGATATATGCTGGAACCCTAAGCGAAACTCTACCTATATAAACTGCGCATAGTCAAAGTAAAATACCCACAATCCGACCGGATTTAATCATGCTGTGCGTGGTGTATACGCTTTGAAACAAATTTAAAGAACCTGTATCGATGAGAGCGCAAGATGAATCAATGAAATCAAGTTATTTTGGTCGTGAATTCATAAAGGCACAAATAATATTGTGCACTTGTGGTGATGTGTTAAAGACAATGTGTTCCAATGGAATATAATTCTCACATATTCCCACAGTTCAGTACAGCATTAGCAACAGAATACTGTGTATATTTGAACATTCTATTTCATGTCGTTTGATGCAAACCAAAATCACACGCTCAGTGACTAGTTAAAGAATATATATATATGTAAAGAATCAGTGATTTGGTTACCTGAAAATATATCTTGGCTTTCGTGTCTTGTCTTCTACTATTACACACTAATTCAGCATCTATTAGGCGCGTAATCTAGAGGCGACGTAAAGCATATAAGTGCGCCACCCAGTGTTAAGAAACTTACAGCAATGCCCAAAATAAAGCAGTTTACTTATACTTTATGCGAAAATGCAAACTTCAAGGGAAATTCCTCCAAAATTCACAATGACATTAAACTCTAATATGAGTCTCAAACTTGCTTGAAATATACCACTGTTTAAAACCAGTAAAAGGGCAGAATAACGCATACTAAATAGTAAATTTATCAATTGACACAAACGTAAGTCACCCCTGCCCACCGGACATCAGTATTCATTCAGGTAGCTTATGAACAAGGTAGAGATCGTAGTTTTTAAAGGGGCTTTAGTGTACATTGAACCTTTGAAATTTTGTTTCAACGCACTCACCCACCTTTCGTGCTACTTCATATTTTGATTTGCGACTCTCCTGTACATACTAGGTCCGCTCTCCCGTTGTGCTTTCACTCAACGCACTCTTCAAGCCTACCACCAGTCGAGGCAGCAGGTAAGTTGTATAACACCTTTATTTATTAAATTTGATATTTCATTTGTGTAAAATACAACTCCGTCACAGACACACTTCCCGTATCACGTCTTTTTACTTTGATTTCGTTCTTCATTACTTACACGTTAGGTAGAGCACTGCTAAGGTTATAAAGCGGTGAGGTTTTCAGTCAGTGTAGTTATTTGAGGTCTGTCTTAAGTTTGGCCCAACACCTACAAGGTAAACGATTTTGCCATTCAGTATACTGCCTCCCACCTTTGCTTTTGCCTTACACAGTTTCAGTGCTAAAGTTTAATTTCTGCATCCTACGTTTTACTGACTTTACCTGATTAGCTCGACATGCTGTTACTCACCGGTGACACTCATCACCTTATTAGTTTAGCTGATTTTTCTGTCGAATTCGTGACAGCCAAATTTCCAGTAGGTTTATTGCATGCCCTATCTAATTGCAGTAATGTAGTTCGGTACTATGATGGCTCAATGGCACGCTATATTATATGCGCTTTCTAAGCGAAATTTCAAGTTAGGATGTTTTCTAGCATGCACATTGTCGGTTGTACTATATGGTGGAACTGCGTTTTATTTACTGAAGGTTTACGAGAAAATTCACTTGATGCTGCCATATGTGCAGTCATTCAGTTAAGCAGTGAAATAAGTTCAAATATCAAGCGTGTATTGCGGTGCATCCACGACATTAGGCTAGTATATTTTGCCCATTTAGCGAAAGTCTACTGTCCTCACTGGTGAGGTAGTTATCAGCATTCATCGCGTAATGTGAGCATTGGTTTCTGTTTTCGTGTACTCAACACAGTTTACACTTCATTTCAAAACAAATTATTATGACTATGAACACTTTGCGCGGCATTATGGTGAATTTGTGCTTCAAAGTCCTTTATTATGTGGAAATATTCAACGGCTAAAAATGCAGATTCTCCAAACATAATTTAAGTTCAAAAGTGGAATATTACTTATTTAATTGGGATAATAATAGTTTAAATTTTGAATAAAACGGCGTTTAGTAAAAATGTATACCGTTTTTACAGGCACAATCAGTTTTCTCATAAATTACACCAGTGAAGTGTCATAAATAATATTTTTTAGAAGTTTAAAAATAATGTACTTATTCAAATTTTTTGTGTTATAGTACAAGCATTCAGAAGGGATTCAAATAAATGTTATATTGTAAACCCTTCACTAAAGTCACCTTCAAAGTTTACCGACAACCCAAACTTCGTTCTGTTTCATGCTGATTGTCAATGGAGTTGAAGATTGAACGATCAATTCTTGGTTGTTTGCTCAAAATCAACTTCCCCGATTTTCGCGGAGGCATCAATACGACAGTCATCGTCTCATCGGTCGCTGTTCAGAAAGAAGAGTGAAACATCGTCAGAAGTAATCTTATGATTTATTATTGTAATATTTGTTTACAGACCTTAGTTCGCTTATTCCTTTTATATGTTGGTGTAACAATACAGAAATATCAAACGGCAGATCGGTGTTTTGGTTTTTTCGTCCGTTATAACTAAGCGTTTCTGAAAACTCAAAGGAACAGCGTGGGCCCGAGCGTAGCGAGAGCTGGGCATTAACGGTTTATGAGACGTGATTGACAGTTTCTGACGATAGAAACAGATCTGGCGGATTGAAACAGTTGGTGAAAGTTTGGATAGTCACCGTTCATCTTTCCTGGTGCCGGTCAAGTCCTCTTTGAACAAGCAATATCTGGAACTTTTTGGAATTGGGTCAAGTTCAACAATGCCTGGGTCAAAGAAGGGACAGAGTGTCTTGGATGCAAACAGGAAAGTAAGTCATGGTGACTTGTCTGTTAATTGTAACGATGTGTCTGATGTTAAGCATGACATGGTTGATGTTACTGTTTCGCCGTTCAGGGATAATAGGAACATCAAACTCCCTAAATTTGAACCACGGTGTTTTGATGGAAACCCGGCTGATTATTTACAATTTGTAAAGGAGTTTGAGATCATGTTGAGTGGTATTTTATTAAATGATGAATTGAAGTTAATGTATTTGATGAGATATTGCACTGGAGATGCTGCAAGAGCTATACAGTGCTGTAAGTTTATGAAGCCAAAGGAGGGCTACGATGAGGCTATGAGCATATTACGTCAAAGGTTTGGAAGACCTTCGATGATTGCAGGGAAATTATTCGAGGCTGTTAAGGGTAATGGTGGTCAATTACAGGATGACTCCCAGGCACTCACTGAGTTTTTAGATAATTTGCTAATTTACAAGAATGGAATGATTTCGATGAATCGCATGAGTGACCTCAACTCGAGTTTTATACTAGAAGTAATAGCAAGACGTCTACCTACTCGACTGCAAAGGAAGTGGGTGAAGATGAGCTCCCGTATGGAGGATGAGGGTATCGAGCCAAAGTTTGATGATATCCTGAAACTGGTAAATACTAGTGTCAATCAATCTATGAGCAAGTTCGCCAGTCTATTACATCTCACCCCTAGAATAGAGCAGTCTGAGGGTAAAATGCAATCATTGATGACGAAAGGGCCTCAGAGAGGTGGATATCGAGAAGGCTCCATGATGTCTAGTAATGCATATAGACCTAGTGAGTGTAACAGGTTTCGTAGTACATCCTCAACAGATAAGTTACAAGATGCAAGACAAACACGGTTGTGGTTTACACGTGTGCAAGAGGTGCATACAGAAGTGAACTGTGAACCAGTGAGCAAGTTCAGTGATAAGCTAAATGTAAACTCCAGGTCTGACTCCGAATTGTGTGACGATAACGGTGCTGTGAAGAAGTCTGTAGTTGCAACTGGTAAGCCATTGTTGAATAGAGTGTCACAGAATAGAGTTATTGCTTCAGAGTGCAGTTCTGACCCTACAAGTTTACAAGGTATTACTAGAGAGAGTGAAGATATAAAACCTTTAATGATTTGTGAGGAGGAACCAAAATTGTCTACTTCTGTTATTAAAGAGTTTGAAAATGATGAACTTGACGGTAAATTGAATATTTGTGGTAATGATCATGATAGTGCACATTTGTCTTTGGTTGATCATGATGAGATGAGGGATATGCCTACTACTGCTAAGTTAAACAAAGTTTCTGTACAACTTGAACGTGAAGTAGAAATAAATGCAGATGCAGTTGCAGAAGTTATGGATACTTGTGAGACCGTCAGTGTAATTGATCAGCATGTAGCCCACCTATCATCAGATGATAGTGCTAAACCCGAACTAGTAGTGAAAGACAGCAGTGGTGGTAATCTTGCAGTTGGACAACTATCTGAGAGCCGAACAAGAACAGCTTCTGATCCACCACTAAGTTCATCACCTTGTGTCACTCAGTCATCGTTGGTGCTGTCATCCACAATGAAACAGACACCCATCAACTCAAGTATCTTGTGCAATGACTATGGTAGTATCAGTTCGTTTGAAAGGACGAATATCAATGGTCAGTTTAGTGTGGATAAGCCAAGTGTAAAGGAGAGAGTTATTGTTAAATTGACTTGCACGAATAAAGGCATTTCTAGTTTCAAGTTACTATTTGAATGTTATTATCTTTGGTGTAAATTACTCTGTTTCTATACTTGGTTGATGAGATATGTCGTGTGTTTGTTGGTCATCTATATTCTACGATACAATGACATGGGCGTGTTGCCGTTCAGATTTGAGGATATAGCTGATAGAAGGAAGTTAGCAAATGAACTCTGCGACGATTTTCCAACCTAGGGCGTCAACCTGAGAAGGGTTGTAGGCGTACTGCTGTAAGTCCTACAATTCTTCAAAGGGTAGCGCATCAATGAGCAGCAAGTGCTTGGTGTGTGATTTTGTACATATGTTCATATTGTATATACTGAATTGATATCATCTGTCATCTACTGTTGGTAATTCTGTTTGTGTCCGGACGACTTCCACTTGATCATCAACCTGAGAAGGAATGTAGGCGTACTGCTGTAAGTCCTACGTTCTTCAAGGGTAGTTTGTCATGCCAGAATCCACAACATTTGATGTAGTGATTGTACATATGTTTGTGTTAAATAATTGTGTGAGTTCCAATTGATGTAATTGTTGGTTAATCTTGTTTGTGTCCGGACATTCCACAACTTACAATCGTCAACCTGTGAAGGGTTGTAGGCGTACTGGTGTAAGTCCTGCAATTCTTCAAAGGAATTCCATCAAGACATGATCTGCGAGTTTGTTTGTACTGTTTGTATATACGTGTGGTGTGTCATATCAATTGGTGTTTTTGGATTCATTGTGTTTACTTGTTGTTTTCGTACCTTGTTGTTATTGCGTAATTTTGTTAAAATTTTCGTCGTGATTACTTCTGAAGTTGTGTCCACTCTTCTACATCCGTGAATGAATTGATTGATGTTAAGGACAGCAGATGGGTCGTATACGCCGGGGAGGCTAGGCTATTGCTGAGAATGAAATGCACACGGAGATAATTGTTAGCTGCGGTCCGACACGCCGGGGAGAAAGAGTGTAAACGACTGAGGCTCGCATGCGTCACCGCTACTAGAACTGAGGCAGAATGAGTGACAAGCGATTTCAGTGGTAATTGGTAGTGAGTAGATAAGAGGATGTGCGTAGAGTATCATGAGTTGGTGCTATGGTCACATTGCATTCTGCAAGAGTCATTCTAGCAAGTGGCGATTGTGTTGCAAGATGTCAAGAGGAGGTCTCTGTCTGGAGGCGCAGGTCGTCATTGATGTGTGAGATTGTGCTGTGAGTATGCTTGTGGTGTGTTGGCTTTTCTGTTTGTTTTCCATTTCAGCTCTGTCCGTGTGACCCAGGTTCTCGCAATGGCATCCAAGTCAACGTGCATTGATCGTGAAGGAAAAAAGGGTTGGATCCCTTTTTTGCCGGGGAGTGTCAATGGAGTTGAAGATTGAACGATCAATTCTTGGTTGTTTGCTCAAAATCAACTTCCCCGATTTTCGCGGAGGCATCAATACGACAGTCATCGTCTCATCGGTCGCTGTTCAGAAAGAAGAGTGAAACATCGTCAGAAGTAATCTTATGATTTATTATTGTAATATTTGTTTACAGACCTTAGTTCGCTTATTCCTTTTATATGTTGGTGTAACAATACAGAAATATCAAACGGCAGATCGGTGTTTTGGTTTTTTCGTCCGTTATAACTAAGCGTTTCTGAAAACTCAAAGGAACAGCGTGGGCCCGAGCGTAGCGAGAGCTGGGCATTAACGGTTTATGAGACGTGATTGACACTGATATTTATGCTAAACCAGTGAACAGAATACATTCGGGTAAGTACTATGCTTTTACGTGATTAAAGCTCTTTCCAGGAGAGGGGATCGTCCTGGGAAACTGCGAAATAATATAAAATACAATTGTGCATAGTTCATCATTTGAAGTACATTAACAAGATACATACAAGAAGGAGGTGGAGACTCCTTGGAATGATAGTATACATTTTCAATGCCTAATGCTAACCATATTGGTCTTTTCATGGATAATACAATGTCTTCGATAAAAATACAACTTTTCACATACAATTATTTTGTTATATGATTTTTTCCGTAAGACGAACCAGACTTTAAGCAGGTGACGGATACATATAAAAGAGTAAGATTTGGCTTTATTCAAGGCCTAGGTAGGGAAGATAAAATGGAGTATGATAGCGCGTGAACAGAAAGTTTGTCATGAGGCATAAATATAAGTGATATTTCAATGAGAAGTGGCTTCAGAGATCTGGAAGATTAGGACCGGTAGTACAAGCTGACATGTAAGATGTCTCGCAAGCTTCTGTGGGGCTCATATGGTGGCATCTCGACTAGAAGTTGAGCAGGCTTGTAGATAACAGGAGCGAAAGCATATATTTTATAATTCAGATCCGTACATCCCTCATGTTTTCGTTAAGGAACCAGACTAATGTTTAATTCTCGGGCTGTTAGAGTGATTCCAATTATGGATGTCAACGTATTGAGGTCATGAGCATCTGACACAAAGGCGTCAACTTATTTGAACTAGATGGAACAACAATCCCATCAGTTCAGACTCATGTGCATCTGGGTTTCACAATGGGTCATGACTTGAAAGCACATTTTGACGCGGTAACCAATCAGTGTGGGCAACTTGTGTTTTTTCAGTACTTCTCTAGAATCAATAGAGATGCGTTCACTTATCTATATACATATCTGGTGAGATCAAACTTGAAAAATCGTATCCAGACAGACAGCCCTTTCCTTAAGGGGGAATCACATATTATAGCTTGCGTTCATATGACGGCAACACGTGTGATTCTTGGCATGACTAATTTATAATTGGATGAATGACTAACAAGTGGTGTTAGCTTTCTTGATTGACTCTTTTGAGAAGAACTTAGACACGGAAGTTTTCTTAAAAGGATTAGCATAGCCTTTAGGTTTTCCTTGCTCAAGCAACAATTCTGAAATAGAAATGACAATTGAAATTGGAATACTCAAATGAGCCTATGCCCGGGAGCTTGAATTAGTCAATGTGCTTCAAGGTCGTGTGTTTGTATGGATGCTACCGTAGGTTGATACTTTCCGCTTATGGTTTATGTACTATTTAACGTGAAATTGTGTTCATGACTTCAGTTCTGCGCAAACTGGTCTATATGCTTTAACTGATATTGACGTGATTAGATTTAAATTATTCAGAAGAAGCGATTTGTTAAATTGTAATTGCGGTGAAAGTACTGAAACAAATACAAACTCTGCATAAGTTTTCCTAGTTGTGAGATCGATATTTCCCATGATGACTGTATACATGATAGTTGGCTTGTATGATAAAAACACGTGATCGAACATCAACGACTGCGGCAGTACTTGATGAAATTTTATACCAACTGATATGAGACGTACATAATTCACACCTCAGGTCTGATGGAGACAGTATCGTCTTGAAGCCCAGAGGAAGGATAGCGGAGCGCTTCAGGATTTAGATTAGCGTTATATTCATGCACAAGAATTTTAACACAAGGGGACTTGAATTTCTCCTGACGGACACACCACAAACCAGCTAGACTTCGTCTCAATGCTATTCAAGGAAGTGGAGACTCAGCCTGTTGGAAACAAAGTCGGGGAGGGGAGTAGATGTTGTGTCAGACCACCATCTAGTTCAAGGAACCTTCAAGATGAAGCTGAAATACCTAAAAACAACTGGAGATGGACCGCAATTCAGACTCAACACTGAGAAACTAAAGCACAAAACAACAAGCGATGCTTTCACTACAGATAAGTTTAGAGCAAGGTCGAGCACACTACGTGTCACCACTGACACCAGCGTGGAAGAACATTCGAACTAACTCTCTGAAGGTGGTGTCCAAGGAAACGTGTACAATTATTCTAGGAAGAAAGTAAGTGAAATGACTTAATGCAGAGATGGACAACGGTAGGAGAAGCTGAGTTCAATGCACACTGCACCGATTAAAGAAGTTAATAAGAGTGCTAGGAAAGACAAGAGACAATTCTACGACACACTGGCCAGCGACTGAGGCAGGCCGCAGGTAAAAGAGACCTCAGGACATTATATCAGATAATCGGGTCTCTATGCGGAAAGCAAATAACCCAGATGATGAAACGAATAAAAGATGTTCAAGCAAACTTGATCACCAAGGAGGAGAAACAAATCAAACAATGGGCTGATCACTTGAAGGAATTCTTGAATCAACCATCACCTGCAACTCGCCCAGAAATACCACCACCAACGGCACGCACGGAACGGCCTGTCACCCGACACCACTCCTCCAACGAGAGAATTCCTGAATGCGATCAAGGTACTAAAATCCGGGAAGGCAGCAGGGTCAGACGGAATTCTCCCGAAGCACTGAAAACAGACGTAGAGACTGCAGCAGAGGTGCTCACGCCATTGGTACAACAGTTTTGGAAGGAAGGAAATGTAGCTACCGGTGGAAAGGAAGACTACCTCGTCAAACTGCCAAAGAAGGGCGACTTAAGCCTCACTCTTCACATAATAAGAGCTACTAGTTACAGGTTATAGTTTTTTTCTTACCAACTGCAAATGAATACTCAATGCGTTTGATAACTAGGCAAAAAAGACCTATATGTATTAGGTTTTTCCTTTGTAACTATTACTTTCTCAATCTCCTGTGTAATATGTAGCATTGAATTTATTTACAGGTGTCTAAGTAAGATGGAATGGGTGCGTAAAGAATGAGCGTATGATCTTGTCCGAGGTAATTTCGCAGAACCCACAGTATTAGCCTGTCCCTTATTTTGATTGTATTTAATTACTCATTGACTATTTCGTTATAGGAGAGGAAACAAGGGATTCTCTAAAGTGATCATTAATCTGTCATCTATAATTATCAATCAGGACGTCCTTAATGTATTGTGTTGAAATCACTTTTGGTAGATTATGAGTCAATACATTGTGCCATTTGAACACAACGATCCAAGGCTATTTTCGCCTGTCTCACAGGCATTTTCCTTAGCTGATCTTGGAAAGCGTTTGTTGGATGCTGCGAAGAATGGAGATGTTGAAGAAGTCAAGAATTTAGTAAATTGTGGAGCTCCATTTACTACGGATTGGGTAAGTCAATCAACAGCATAACTAATAAGTCTTGATTAAATCTGTCTTTATTTCATCCTATTATCTGTGTATTCTCTGAAATTGTACATGAACCCGTATCACATACTTTTAAAAACGCAGCAGACAACAATGAAACATTTTATAATGACTAAAGTGAAATGTTATATATTTATCCATAAATTATAAACATCAAAAGATGTGCCGCACAAAATCTCGTAGTTTATGTGACAGCTGATATACTGTCTGAACTCCCCGATCAAAACAAGTAGTTTCCTCAAGGGATCACACCGAGCCTTTGACTTGAGGTGTGATCCACAAAACAGTCGAGCAGAATTGGGAGTTACTACCAAAACACGTTCATATGTCATTCTATCCGCTAGGATTGTGGACCCCATATGCATCATATCCCTGGAATCACGGTTTAATAGCTTCCCTAGATAGACCAGCATGTTCATCAGTTTGTTTGTTAATACCAATGTTCGCATTCACCTTTTCACTTCTGAGGAACACCTCCGCCACATAAAGGCGGTGAGTAAAACTTACCTGGAAGAGGCTACGAACGCGTGGCTAAACGAGAGAGTTTCGAGAAAAAAACGGAAGTCTACACATCCTTGACTGTACGGCGTCGTTTATGGAGACCTTAAAATGAAATGAATTCGAGATTTATATTTCTTCTCAGCGTATGAAACCACTAGCTGTGTGATGTCATTGAAAAACTGTAAACATCCTTTCTGTATTCCTGCAATCATACTTCCTTCAGTGTAGAAATTTGTGCTTTCTGGTCAATTGGATACCTTTTCATTATTCCTGTAACCACATGCATCAACTATTTGTACTTTTGTTATCGTCTTTGTTGATTGCTTCTTTTATTACTGTAGATCATTGTCATTACTTAGAATTTCACATATATTTACAAGTTGCAAATTTAATTTGTGGTATTACCAATTCACCCAAGCAGCTATCCAGAAATCGAGTGTTTTGAACTAATGGAGCTCTTTGAACTGAGTTAAACCCGGAACATCACTGATGAGCTCAGTCCCAAATGAGCGAAACGGCCGTCCAGTGTTCAGATCACTTCGATTTGACTGGTTAGCAAGCACTACTGGTTAATGTGAATGGTATCCATCTACTCTTATCTGCCAATCAGTAGTATATAACATTATACGCGAATCCACTTATGTATATAATATCTCAGTGTTTCAATTTTCTACAGTTAGGAATGTCGGCACTTCATTTTGCTGCTATGAATGGACATCTCAGCTCTTGTGAGGCGCTTCTTAGAGCTGGTATCAGTAGAGACGCCCGCACTAAAGTTGATCGTACTCCATTGCACCTAGCAGCTCAAGAAGGTCATGCAGATATTGTCGAATTGTTATTACGCAGTGGAGCAGATCTTGGTGCTAAGGATATGTTGCGTATGACAGCGTTACATTGGGCAGCCGAAAGAGGTCACACACATGTGGTTCAAATGTTAATGCGTTTTGGAGCAAATGCACATCTTCAAAATAAATTTGAAATGACACCCTTAGATATAGCTGAAAGTAAACACTATAATGATGCTCGTGATGCAATGCTGGTAAGTTTGAGCTAAAATGTATAATTTATTTCTACACTATTGCAAAGTTATCACACAAATATCTATAGTAATAGTACTGGAAAATTTTAACTATACCGAAAGTTGTTTGTTGTTCACATCAAACTCATTAGCTGTTTCAACCTTTTAGTTCAGTGAACTTCATTGGCATTCCTTTTTAAAAAAAAATAGCAGTGAATGAATAAGGTTCACGGTAACGAACGTTTGATAATTTCCTGATAGGTCTCTGACCTGGACTGTTAACTTCAAAAAGACTTCATACATTACTATTGCAAACATTCGCTTCCAAACGAGCCAATGAGAGGTTCTGTAGTTTTATATATATATATATATATATATATATATATATATATATATATATATATATAATCACAATAGTCATACAAAAAAGGGTAATTAACTAATTAATTACGTGCTGCACCATTGGGACGATTAGTGAGGGATTATCAAAGTGGTGAAATCTAATTAGTGTTCAGACATCTGTCAAAGTGGAGGAATCTGATTAGTTGGTTATCTTTTGTCTAATGTATGTGAAAATCAATATTTGTATAGTTTAAATTCTGACTGTAAAGGACTGTCAATCTAGTCTGTAGTTATGCATAAAATTCAGTCCACCAGAATATCATTCATCATTTTGAGATTATGCAGTCCGAGGTGAAGATTCACCTTGGGAAGTTCGTAATATATTTAAATCAAAATATTGACCTGTTTTACCCCATAAATGACATCGAGAAAACAAGCAGAGTCGCATAACAGTATATTCTATCAAACTGGTTTGAGTAATGTGCTTACTAGCCAGATCAAGGTGTTCCAAATGCTGGACAGCTGGTATGCTCTTTTGGGACTAGGCTTATCAGTTGGTAGTATATATACGTCTGGCTACCCTGTGTTAGGTAATCTTTTTCAGGCCTTTTATTAGTGCTGTATAATAGTGAGTGTGTAAGTTATATAGCAGAAAATGTTTCAGTTGACAAAGTTTTATCGATGAAGGAATTTTAGTAGGATATTCGAGTATTGTTGTGATTAAAACTTATTATATAACCGATATTTTTTCACCTATTCAAGTATTGGTTTGTAGGGATTTGGTTGATTGTTTACAGGACCATTGGAAAACCTACAGGGAGTATTAGACACATGTTTCGTCCTAGTTTGGGACTCTTCATCAGTAGGCATCTACCACAGAGGGTTAAACCCGGGACCTTCTGGTTACAACGCGAGCTCATAGACCATTAAGTCACTGGGATATGATCCATGAATTCCAACTTCTGCCAATTCACCGTATAGCGCAACCGCTAGCCAATGTCTTCGGCGAGTATTTGTCCTCACATCCGACCTGCTGCACCCTACTGGTCACTACTTCCGACTAGAATCCCAGGTAACTACCTACCTGAATAGGGCCAGTCACCAGTGACCATCTCATTGGCATTCAAGTATTGGTTTGTAGGGATTTGGTTAGATCAGGTCCCAGTGGCTTAATGGTCTACGGGCTTGCCTTGTAACCAGAATGTCCTGGGTTCGAACCCTGTTGAGTGCGTACTGATGAAGAGTCCCAAACTAGGACGAAACAGCTGTCCAATACTCCCTGTAGTTTTTCCAATGGTTCTCTAACCAATGTCAGCTCATGATGAATTCCTGTAACCAATTTTTTCACGTAGTTGGAAAGTTATTTAGTGAATTTTAAGATTGAATGGTTTCTTTTTGATGTATTAAGTTGATGCATTCTTTGAAATGTTTTCATAATGTGGTCGGGAAGCCAAGGTTCATTATCTCTGATCATCTCTTTCCGTCGATCGATCCATCCATCCATCTATTCTGTTCAGTTTTGAGAAGTATCGAAACATCAAATTTTTAGATTTCCTTTTCCTAACGAGACAGGCGACTGTTTACATAAAGAAGAATATACTGAAATATATCTGTTTCGGTCTGTCTGTTTTCGACGTAGAACTTTTCACATATGCGCGCCAGTTCAAGTCGCCACACTCACTCCTTGTAGCACACAAAGAGAAGAAAGTGCAAGAAATATATAATGGAGACAGTAAGCAGAGGTGTGAGACAAAGGAAGAGTAATAACGAAGAACAAAACAGTTTCATTGGAAATCATAAGTCACAAGGAGTGGATGCATCTGCACCAGCCAGCCATTGAGAACGAATTCGAGCCAAGTCACCAATTGTTTCCAACCATTGGTTTTTACCGTCCCGAGGACCCCAACCAGTCAGGAAGTCTACACCTTCCTACATGGCCAGCTTAGACTAACTGTTGTAGATTTCATTGACTGGTGGGATGTTTTTGTTTGACCTCCGCTAGCTTTTTTCCAGCCTGACTCTATATCCGCTAACATTGCTCGTCGGGGAACGTGATCGCTGACTAGGCATACGTAACACATGTCCTAACTATCTCAGTCTATGTAACTTCACAGCCTCGTCGATTGATTTCCCCTCCTTATCTAGAACTCGACGTCTAACCTCAATATTGCTCACCTTATTATACCACTTCACACGGGAGATAGTTCACAGGCACCTATGATCAAAGACAGCTAATCTTTTCATGTCTTCCACTCTCAGTGGCCAGGTCTCACAACCATAAAGGAGGACGGAGTGGACTGATGAGCAGTACACCCGCCCTTTGGTCGATAGTCGAACATCTCGTCTACGCCAGAGTCGGCGTAAATTGGTAAATGAGAAACGAGCCCCCTGTATTCGTGCTGAGATTTCATCAGAGATCAACCCGTCGAGACTAGCTGATGATACTTCCCAAATAAGTGAAGCGGTCGACGTGCTCTACCACTTCACTTCCTATTTTTAAACTAGGCGTCGATGTAGTCCAGTCCTGTAACCTCATCTTGCATTTGGCGGGAGCGAATCGCATGCCAAACATTCGTAGATTGCAGCTTAGTCTACGCATGGTTATTGAGCCTAGGACTTTAGATACTATATTAGTCAAGCTAATCCCTGTGTGATTATCACAGGAAAACTTGTCTCCCTTCTTGTATATGGGGAAATATATCTACTGCTTCAGTTTTATATCATATCAGTATGAAAAGAAGTGAATCATTGGATTATTTTTTTATTCTTAAGGTGTATAAAGGAATTGCTCGGGAATATGAAAAAAAGTTTATAATGAAGCACTTACTCGGGTTTTTTTCCTTCACGTTCCTAGTGGAACATAGAGAGCTTCAAGCTAGTGACTTGAAGTTTCTGTAGCAGTGTTTAATTTTACAGGATGGGGTTGCTAGCCTCATGCCCAGACTTTCCTCTTTACCAGCATTATTTCTGGCTTGGCCAGGTAAAGGAGTGAGTCGGCCGGGGATCGAACCCTGGACCATGTGCATGGTCGGCGAGCGTCCTAACCGCTGTGCCACTGACACACACTCGGGTAGCTTTGGAAAATACCTATATCAAAATGAGGAGATGAAAATAGGTTTTATTTTAAGGAACTTATATTTAGGATACATGTTCAAATGTTTTCCTCACAGTACAGCTTCTGCGTACAGATTGAGAAGAAAACCCCCTGAATAGACAAATTATTTAGATTGTACATCAGTTCAACAACACCTAAATAAAGGGAGCAAAAACTGTGTCAATTGTATATTATTATTGTATTATATACTAATATAGTATCTAAAGTCTTAGGCTCAATAATCATGCGTAGACTGAGCGGTGCTCGGGAGGCACAAACACGAGAGAGCCAGGCAGGCTTTAGACCAGGAAGAGGGTGTATTGATCATATCTTCACCCTCCGACAGATTCTAGAACATACGCATTCATACCGGCGTCCAACAGTCATTATATTTCTTGACCTAAAGGCAGCATTCGACTCTGTCGATCGAGAAGTTCTCTGGAGATGCTTGGCTGTAAAGGGAATTCCGAGAAAATATATTGCACTGATTAAGGCACTGTACTCGTACTCATACAGCCAGGTGAGGGCTTACGGCGAGCTGTCATCTGAACTGATGACGACCAGTGGTGTCCGTCAAGGATGCCCATTACTCCTTTTCTATTCAACTTCATCATAGATGTGTTAATGGACTTAACCCTAGGTGACTTCAGCGACTCAGGGATTGACTTGCTACCGGGGAATAATCTCGTTGACTTGGAATATACAGACGATATAGTCCTTCTAGGCGAAGACTCTGACGAAATGCAGAGTCTTCTAAACACCTTGAGCCGCAATCTACGAATGTTTGGCATGCGATTCGCTCCCGCCAAATGCAAGATGATGTTACAGGACTGGACTACATCGACGCCTAGTTTAAAAATAGGAAGTGAAGTGGTAGAGCACGTCGACCGCTTCACTTATTTGGGAAGTATCATCAGCTAGTCTCGACGGGTTGATCTCTGATGAAATCTCAGCACGAATACAGGGGGCTCGTTTCTCATTTACCAATTTACGCCGACTCTGGCGTAGACGAGATGTTCGACTATCGACCAAAGGGCGGGTGTACTGCTCATCAGTCCACTCCGTCCTCCTTTATGGTTGTGAGACCTGGCCACTGAGAGTGGAAGACATGAAAAGATTAGCTGTCTTTGATCATAGGTGCCTGTGAACTATCTCCCGTGTGAAGTGGTATAATAAGGTGAGCAATATTGAGGTTAGACGTCGAGTTCTAGATAAGGAGGGGAAATCAATCGACGAGGCTGTGAAGTTACATAGACTGAGATGGTTAGGACATGTGTTACGTATGCCTAGTCAGCGATCACGTTCCCCGACGAGCAATGTTAGCGGATATAGAGTCAGGCTGGAAAAAAGCTAGCGGAGGTCAAACAAAAACATCCCACCAGTCAATGAAATCTACAACAGTTAGTCTAAGCTGGCCATGTAGGAAGGTGTAGACTTCCTGACTTGTTGGGGTCCTCGGGACGGTAAAAACCAATGGTTGGAAACAATTGGTGACATGGCTCAAAATCGTTCTCAGTGGCGCAGATGCATCCACTCCTTGTGACTTATGATTTCCAATGAAACTGTTTTGTTCTTCGTTATTACT